TATATTATAAAATTTACTACAATTTAAAGTTTAAAAAATTTATTAATTTTAGTATGAAAGATGGGATTTTTAGAGAGGAAATTATAAATTTACAATGGAAAAAAATGACTTTTTATACTTTTTAAAGTTAAATTTTATTAATTATTTTTACTTTTTAATTATAAAACGTATAATTTTTTTTAATAATATTCATTTTTTTTTCTTCATGTTCGAACTTTCTAAGTTTTCAGACCTCAAACCTTGCACGTCTTTAATGGAAATTAATGATAATTAATGAATATAATTAAAACAAAAAAAGCACACATTTAACACGCAAAATGTACATTTTTACACATTCAAATCCACTAAAAAATACTCCAAAACATCAGAATTTTCGCGTGATGCTTTTTTAATAAACGAGAAAAACTACAGAGAGATACGAAAAACCAGAATTAATCAAGCTAATAATAATATTAACAATTACATTCAAAAAATAAAATATAACAATTATAAGAGTAACATCTGTCGACATTTTCGATAATTCAGAAGTTTTTGTTCACGTAACCCAAGCAACATCCGCATCTCTCCTCACAATTACATAACATTTTTCTTATCTATAATAAAAGTCATTAAAAAAATTCAATTATAAGAAAAATGGCAAATTTGCACGTTTCTTATCAATTCTAATTCAAATTATGCAATTTGAATTATTGGCATTCGCTTTGTAGCTCCTTTTTTTTCTCCTATTTTTTATTATGAAGCAGAGCTCCTAGCTTCCCATTATTATCGGAATTTTCCATTATTACCTCCAGTTTAGATTGTTATCCCCATTTAACGTTCTTTACTTCAATCATTCGTTACCGATAAATGTTTCTACTTTAATAAATATCTTATTTGAAAGTAGAAATGAACGAAAAAAAAAAAAAAAAAAAAGAAAATTGCATCCTCTTTTTTTCCCAGGATTATTAACTAATGATTTTCTTTGAGTTTCTAACTTTTAAATGATTTTGTCAGTTTATGAAGTCGCGAGGAACATAAATCCAGACTTTAAAAAAAGAACAATTTGGTGTTGCCTCCTCTTTAATTTCCGGAGTTTGTAAGATTCGAGAATTGACGTTTATTGTCTTCTTTAATCAAGTAGAAATATATCATTGGAGATAAATTTAATAGTTTAAAAAGAAGAAACTATTAATGTTTAAGATGCTTTTCTGATTGTTTTCTAAAATATTATCGAAATATTTTATTTTTTAATTTATAAACAGTAATTTCTTTTAAAGATGAAGAGAATGTTTGCTTCTCCTCACGGCTTGAAATCATGCGGGGAAGTGTCATTGTCAGGGGACTAGGAAAATTATGTTCGAATTTTCTTCTATTTTCTTAAATTCTGTGAAATATTTTGCAATTTTTAACAGGAATTTATGTATATTTAACAATTTTCGAATATTTACATCGATATTTTGTAATAATTTACTTATATAAAATATTCTCGATATATTTTTCTGAAAATCTTAGCAAGAGCAATTCGAATCAATAAATTCTAGTAATAGTTTTTTTTTTTATAGAAAAATATTGACATTTAAAATTTAAATTTACACAACTTCTTGATAAATTTATAGAGAAATTTATCGAAAAAGGAAAAAGAAATTAAAAATAAAAAACTTTTTCATTAAAATATTTTATTTTTCGTAAATTATCGAATATTAACAAACTTTATATAACTTATGTAAAAAAAAATATTTTAAACGATACTAAAATTACTCATTAAATATTTAAAATGATTTTAATACTAAAAAAAAGAGGAAAACTTAAAAAATAGGAAGTTAAAGAGTTTATTTCCTTGGAGGTATATAATTTTCAAATAATAGTTTAACATCAAAAGAAATTATCGTCGTTAAAGTGGTCATTTATAAGATTCTTGAATACATAAAAAGCTTTAGAAAGATCATTTTTTTCTTAATAGGCAACAATTTTCTAAGATTACGCTATTATGAGATAACAATGAATAGAACAGGTGCTTCTTGAGTTCAAGTTAAAACTTTACTAATTCGTTTTGTATTGTTCATATTTTTTTCTGTACTTTATTCAGTGAAAAAATAAGATTCTTATCTACAGATATATAATATAATAAAATATCTAAAATTGCTTTGGATATTATTATTATTATTTTAAAAAATATTTTAGAAAATTCAACTTTTAATAGTCTCTATAAAACTTTTAAACGGAAAATATCATTCTAATACTTTTATCATTTAAAATTTTAATTGTAAAAAAACATTAAAGGAAGATTTTAAATTATTATAGAATTTATAATTTTGTTTAGACTTATAAATTAATTATTTTAATTTGTTACTATAGTAGCTTATCAAGTTTTTTTTTTAAATATACATTGGTGATTTATGTCACTGTGAAGGATAAATTTAGATAGTAACCTGAGTATAACAGGAAATTAAGTTTAGGATAACAGTTTGTCAAACAGGAAAGAGGATGCCAGTAAATTGCAGGAGTAATTTTACTACTACAGTAATAAAAATATTCTTTAGAAAATTTTTTAGATTGTAGAAACAATAGAAAAGTTATGTAGAATAGAAAATTTATAATGTAAGTAAATGGGAATTTGTTTTATACATAAATTCTTCAGTTATAGTAATATAAAATATCAAATAATTTATAGAAAAATCACAGTTTTCCACCCTCTAACATAACTCTAAATTTATATAAAAAGATAAGGCTCTTACAATAATAAAAGTACTTATAAAGTGAATATAAATGTACAGAACTGCTAGAATAATGAAATTCTAGGTAAGTTCAGAGTAACTTAAAAAATATTACCATAATAAAACATGCTTTAAAATTTATGATGAAAAATCTTGAAGTATTACATAAAGTAAAATTCTGTGCTTTTGTAGGATTTACAGGAAAATTTAATGTTTAATTCAAGATACGAGAATCTGTACACTTAACATTGTTTTACTAAGCAAAACTGATGTTCTTTCTGTTCATTTCTTATCTTAATTAAGTAAAGTGAAATTTAAATTAGTT